ACATAGGGGTAGATAGAGAATTCATGAACAGAACTCAAACCACACAGGAAATACTTCCCAGTATCAATAACTGGGATCACGACTTATTAAAAAGTTTCTGTATGTCAAAAGAAATCTCCAGCATAGTGAAAAGAAAACCTACAAACTGGGAAAAAATCTTAGTGAACTCTCCCTCAGACAAAGGACTTCTGTCTAAAACATATAAAGAATTTAAAAAATCATACCCCCAAAATTCAAAGATTCAATCCAAAAATGGGCATCTGAGATGAATACACACTTCTCAGATGAAGAAATACAAAAGGCAAATAAATATATGAAAAAATGTTTATCATCACTACTCTTTAGAGAAATGCAAATTAGAACCACACTGAGACTCCATCTCACTCCTGAAACAATGGCCAGGATCAAGAAAACCCCCACCAACAAATACTGGAGAGGCTGTGGGGAAAAAGAAGTGCTCCTGCACTGTTGGTGGGAATGTAGTTTGGTGCAACCATTGTGGAAGTCAGTCTGGAGATTTCTCAAAAAGCTGGGATTGGAAGTCAAATTTGTTCCAGCTGTTCCACTTCTAGGCATATTCCCAGAAGAACTGAAAGCATCGTACCACAGAGATACATGTACACCCATGTTTATAGCAGCACAATTTGTAATAGCCAGATCTTGGAAACAACCTAAGTATCCATCAACTGAGGAATGGATGAAAAAGCTGTTTTATTTTTATACAATGGAGTACTACTCAGCTATAAAGAATGATAACATTGAGATATTTATAAATACATGGGCACGGCTTGAAACCATACTTATAAGTGAAATAAATCAAACCCACATGTATAAATACTGAATAGTTTCCCTAAGTGTAAGAAATGATAACAATACATAAAAGTATGTGGTAATCATGATTCCCCATTATATTGCTTTGAAGCCTTATAATGTTTTCATTCATCAATTGTAATGGTTTTATTCTGGGATGTTTGATTTTATTGTCTGTGATGGTATGAACAGCTATTTTGGAGAAAACAAGACATCATAATAGCTAGTGCTGATTTAATATCATCTTGTTTTGAAGTCCTTTCAAGCTTTTGTTCTTCTGTCTCCATCGGTCTTAACATGTTGTATCTTATTGGATTTTATTGTATGTGATAATATAAACAAAAACTTTTATAGACGAGATAATACAGAAACCATTGTTCGTTGATGTTAGTTGGTTCTAAATACCCTGTAATACTGTCATTCTCTTGAATGGTTTTACATTGTCTTGGTATGTTTGATGCTACAGTATACGAAGTTATACTCAAATATTTCAAGGAAAGAGACACTATGGTAACTACTTTTACGTCGGGATATCTTGTGGTGAAACACTATGTTGCTTAAATTGTTACGTTCTGACCTGTGCTGTTTTGTTGTTATGTCCTCTTTTATCTCAATCTCCTTCTTTTATTATTTATTTTTTTATTTTTATATTTTCAATTAAGGGAAAAAAATAAAAAATAGCAGGATATATTATAGTAACCCACTTTTATTTCCTCTTAACTTGATTTGAAACCCTGTATTGCTCTCACCATCTTATTTTGACTGATTTTACTCTATTCTGTTTTGCTTCATAGTATCAAGTTTAAGAGTATAGGCAACAACCAACTTTGAAGACAATGAGGTCCACTATCATGCCCATTCTGGTTTGACTGTTATCTTCTTTTGAAGTCCTGTAATGTCTCCAATGTTTTGGTTTTACTCATTTTGTTCTGTAATGTTTTGTTCAATTTTATTATACCTGATGATATAGGCAATTCTTTTTAAGGTAGCAAGAGGCATTATGGTAACCATTGTTGATCACCTTCTATTCTGTTTTTACATCATGTACTATGTCCATCCTTTTGATTTGACTGACTATTCTATTTAAAAAAAATAATAAGAACTGTGAAAGTAATAACACCCAAAATGTGTAATTGTCATTGTAAAAAAGAGAGGAAAAGAAAGTGCTCTAAAGGATATAACTGCATGTATATTTAAGTATATAAGATAGATAATCATATTACTGAGTTTTTGTTGGATCATTGAACCCAACTGTTTGCAGTCTCACTGTTTGAATGTCCAATTTATGTGCTTTAATTTTGTAACTTGAACAGCTATTTCTAAGATGACAATATGTAATCTATTAACTAGTGATTTCCTACTGTTTATTTTTTTTTTGAAATCCTGTTTTTTTCTGTTTTTTTTTTTCTTTTTCTCCTTAAATAAAATTTTTAAAAAAGATACTTCCTAACCCTTTCCTACTTGGTCCCTTAACAGTTGGCTTTATCACATGATCTGAAAGCGCACTGTGTCGTTTCCTTGAAGCTAGAAAACAAAATATCATAGTTGCTGCTTTTGTTTCTCTACTTCTTAGAAAAAGTTTGTGGTCATTTATCAAAATTACAAGTAGTAGATAAATCTTTTAATGTTCTTTTGCTGTTTTATATTTCCAAATAAGTCTTCAGTTTAAAGTAGGGTTCTTCAATGGCATTATTCTGATTGTTGTATTAGCAAACAGGCTTCCCAGAAGGAAGAAAAAGAAGAAAGGAAATAGTAAGAACTCTTGAGTTGTAAATTTTCACCTTAGTTTATTATCCCCCACACGAAAACTTCAGTGACTTACCACATTCATTTCATTTGTAAGAACATTTTAAAGTCATGATTCAATTTTCCCATTAGCTAATTGTTAACACAATATCACTCTAGCATGATGTATAACTTTTTTTTCGTACCGGGGATCAAACTCACAACCTCGTGCTTGCTAGGCAGGTGCTTATGCTGCTGAGCTAATCTCTGGTCTGCAAAATGTAGCACTTACATCAGTGTCTCTGAAAATTCCCCAAATTCTAGTCAGTTCTTAAGTTAAATCCTGCAAGAAGACCATTGCATTGTTATTGCAAATGTTTGTGGTATACATCATTTGAGAACTTCCATTCTCTGCATTGGTATAAATGGCACTATTACTGAGCTCTTGTAACCAGGTGATAAGTCCAACATCATGTGGAAAACCTTAAAGACTCTTAATGGTCAGTGGATACAATAGACTTTGGTAAAACAGCAGAAACCAGCATGAGAATGTCCAACCTGAAATGATTAACTATTAAACATATAAGGAATAAAACATGCACTAGCCGTAACAACCCAGCTTACTTAATGAGTATATACCCTTACTTAATGAGTATATACTATACAAGTACTTTTTTCTTAACTGGTGTGCTTAAATTCCTGGTTCATAGGTGTAGAATCAGAAGTTGGAGTTTCAATTTTCCCATGTACCCCAGACTTGCCTAGTCTATTTTCTATATTGTTTCTTTTTTGTGGGTTTTTTGGCTGTTATTAAACATAAACTTTGTGAATTAGTTTTCCCTTTGAATTTCTCAGATGAGAATCAGTCCAAAGCAGTGAGTAGAAAAAATAGAGAAAATTTAGTGGAACTAGCTTGAGCTTAAACTCAAACTCTGCAGAAAGAAATGGAGCAGTACCTCACATATTAATTGTGGGGTAAGAAGAAGGTATAAATTGATGAGAAGCCTCCTTTACTTCTTAGGTTATTTACCAACTTTCTGTGACCTCTTGCAAAGAAATATGTCCATTGAATAGCCTGACTCTGTTCCTTCCTTTCCATAGCACATATATAGAGATTTTCTACTATTCAAAGTGAAGATCATGTGGTGCCTCTGGTTGGCCCATGTGTACTGAAAATAAATATTCCCTTTTTATAATCAAAACCTCTTAAAGAGTTAAGAATTCAGTGTTACATTTTCAAATTCTGAAATATGCAGCATTTTTCTCAATATACTCAATTTATCATATATAAAATCAGGTAGACGATGAAATAAAGTTCTAAAGTAGCTTTTCTTTTATACTGTCACTCCTGAGCCAAACTGCACTCTAGCTCTTCTTGTAGTACACACAAAATACACACATCCCCCTTTTTGTCTCTTTATCTCCATATTTTATTCTGCAGTTTTCTTGAGAGCCAGAACTATATTTTGTTCATCATTGTATCCCCCATATCTGCATAATACTTAACTTAGCTATATAGTAGGTTTATGTTCTCTGTGTAGTCATATCATTGTTGTGTAGTCATATCAAATATGAGTTTGGGTAAGTTATGTTTGTGTGAACTTTCAAAAAGTGAATCTACTTTTTACTTCAGAGATTTAAAAAAGATATGAATATGTTTTAAAAATATTGTAGCAGTCATCTCTCATGTTCTTGTTATTTTACTCAGTATTTAAATTACTATATTTGTGGCCTAATTTTTTTAGTTCTTTTATATTCTAGAGATTACTCTTGTATCTGAGGAATAGCTGATGAAAATGTTCTTTTCCCATTCTGTAGGTTCCCTCTTCACTCTGCTGTTTGTGTCCCTTGCTATATAAGAAACTTTTTAATTTGATGTAATCCTATTTGTCCATTCTTGCTGTCATTTCTTGTGCAATTGGAGTTCTGTCCAGAAAGTTCATGTCTATACTTATGACTGTTTCTATTTTTACATTTGGATCTTTGATCCAATTTGATTTTAGTTCAGTACATGGTGAAGTATACAGGTCTAGAATCAATTTTCTGCATGTGGTTATCCAGTTTTCCTAGCACCATTTGTTGAATAACTGTCTTTCCTCTGCTGTATGTTTTTGGCCCTTTTGATGAAGATAAAATAGTTGAATGTGTCTTGAATATGAGAGGGACAGGGAAAGGTGAAGTAAAAAGACTTAAAATGTGTTATGAACATGTACCAAATACAATGTATGCAAACATAAACATGCAGTAAAAATAAGAATGAAAATGGGGGAAACTGATTTACAAATGCAGTGAGAGGTGGATGGGGAAGGAAAAAGAATTTTAAAAGAATCAAGCTGCATTAGGTATATGTATCTACTCCCTAACATGAATGTAAACTTCTTGTACTGAAAACATTACTAATAAAACAAAAAAAATTGAATCCTAAATATATAAATAACAAACTATTTTTCTTTGCTTTACTCTAGAACTGAACAATGCCACAAAAACATTTTTTACTGAAGAGTATTTGAAAATAAAACAAAGCTTTCAGAAATCCAGCTCTGCAAAATGGCCCCTACCAAGCTGCAGAAAAGCCTTCCATCTTTTTGGAGGTAAGAAAATCAATAGCAAAAGAACAAGAAAGTGTGATAACTTTTGTCAAGTCTGCCCTTATAGCTAAGTTTTCCTGTCTTAGGAATTTTGGTGGAAGTATATTAGTGTTGATCAATTTTATGTGAAAATTTTGCTAATTATTTCCGTGCTAGCAGCTATAAGCATATTCATATAAAAATGAAAACTATACCTTAAAAATAAATTTGAAAGAAACTGTGATTAAATTAACTTTACCTGGGAGAGTATTGAGAGTGTCAGGAATGGGAAAATTTGATAACTACAAAGGGTAAGCAGTTCTTTTGTGCTATTGCACAGTAGATTGACTATAGATGACAGTAATATACTCTTATATTTCAAAAAAGTAGAAGGAAAGAGAATATTTTAATCATGGAGAAGTAACAAATGATTGAGAAGGTAGATAGTTTAATCTGATTGTTTAACCTGATTTAAACAATGTATACATGTATAGAAGCATTAACATGATACCTGTTTAGTATGTATAATTTCTGATTCTATGTATGTTAAAATAAATTTAATAATAAAAAAGTCTTTCCTTTGCCGTCATTGTTTAATATATAGATAATAAAAATACATCCCCAAATGTCATATGAAATGACAAAGCTTAATGGAGGAGATGTGGAAGCACATTACAAATTATAACTAATTGTACAATATGAATATAAAGGATTATCAAATAAGAGCAGGACAATCTCTAACATGTTTAACAACTCTGAGTGTGTTACTATATGATGATACAATATAAATATAAATTGTAATTTTATATTACAAAACCACGGTAGACTATAAATTACTGTGCTGTTTCAGTGTGTGTCACTTATTATGCTATGACCCTGATAGGAAAAGTCCAGCTGTGGGAACCATGATCTTTGGACAACAAAAGCAACATCTGCAAAAGAAAACCAATAAGATCGATACAAATGATGTTAAAACAAAAGCAGACAGGGCCAGGAATATAGCTCACACGCATCAGCACCTGCCAGCAAGTGCAAAATCTTGAGCTTGATTCCTAGTACAAGAACAAACAAAACCCAGCAACAACAACAAAAAGCAGACAGATGCAGATTGAAGAAAAAGGGAACTGATATATGAAATGTCTTAAGCTTGAAGGAAGTAGGACATTTCATGATCCTGCTTCTTTATAATGTGGATAATAACTAAAAGTTTGTTATTTATGTATTTGGTATAAGTAGGTTTAAAACATACCACATTTAACCAAAAATATGAAATTAAATCACCCTGAAAGAATTTTGTAAAAACGGTGGAAATGTGTAATTAATAATTTAGTTTGTGTTCTTTAAAAAGTTTTCTTGTCTCCTACCTTTTATTCTACATCCAAATCTTTAAAATAATCAAGCACTTTTCCTTTACAGTTTTGTATACTTTTTTTGTATTCTGAGGTAGCACTGAAGCAATTTGTGACTTGTCTTTCTACTTTATGACTGCTTCTAATGACATAAAGTTAATTGTATCTTTCATTTTCAGCATCTTTCTAGAGTATTCTGTCTTATTTAAGAAATTCCCTTGTATTCCTAGGTTCACAGATATTTTGCTATGCTCTTTCAAGTAGTTGTAAAGGTCTTTGAAATTGGTAATATTTATTTATAGGTTTATTTTTTGCATCCAATTTCTTTGAGTTTTTTGCAATTTAATTTCTTCCTACCTTTTATCAAAAATAATTCATCATTTCTCCACTGATATACAGAGCTAAATATCATATTTAAATTTCCATTTGTGTGGTTCTACTTCTGAGGTATTTATTTGGTCCATCGTACTCTTTATTTTTCCCTCTGCTGATGCCATACTGTCTCAATTACCGAAGACTTATAATAAATCTGGATGTATCCCTTCCAATTTGTCTTGCTTCAAAAGTGCCTTAGCTACTTTTTGGCCATTTCAAATTAACTTTAGAATTATCTTGTTAGAGTCCTTAACCCCGTAAAATTATAGTGTTTTTCCTACAAAAAAGAACCATATTAATATTACTATAGATTTCCTGTCCATTAAGGCTCATACTATTCTTGAACTCGCTCAGCCATAAAACTAGCTCACACGTAGACTCATTTATTTTCACTCAGTGAAGTAAAATCGTGAATATACTGAGTAAACAAACCTGTTCTGAATTTTCTGCTTATAAACATGTTTCATATATTTAAACATAAAGTGGATAATAAGAAAAGGAATGCAGATATTCCAGGTAAATATGAGCTCACACTTTGTATTTTTTATCAGGTCTGATTGCACTCAGTCACAATTGTCTCTCCTGAAGTCTCTTCCATTTCCAGATATTACATCTTAAGGTTATTTATTAGTATCCAGTTCACATGGTTTCCAGCTGTATTCTGATAATTTATTACCTAAGAAATGGAATCATATGTATATCATAATATATGGTACATTATATATAAATATATAGAATTTTATGTGTATGTAACATAAACACATATATACACAAAGAAAACTAGCTGAGAGGTTTTATTAAAATCTTGTTGCTAAGAAAAATAAACTGACACTATGGATTCTTAACTTGTTTGTCTAAATATGTCAAAGAAATGAAAAAAGAAAAGATTTAAAATCCCATGTCCTAATTTTGTTGACTGTAACAAAAACATGCCAATAAAATTGATATGCCTGAAATGTATTTATGACAAACCCATCAGTTACTGAAGGAAGCCTGGGCTATTGTTTTGTTTAGTCATTAATTTTTCTAAACATATTAGATTGATTCTGCAAGTTTAAACATGTTCAGTACAAATCAAAGAGTATCCAGATATAAACAAATCCTGTGTCTAAGAGGAAACAAAAATGCTCAAAAAGCAGGATTTTGGATTTAGCCCATAAATCTGTCATCTCAGAATGTTGAAGTTAATTCCAAGAAACTTGAGAATATGCTATAGATTCAGTGCTGTCTATTAGCAGAAGAGTCAATTAGCCTTGCCAGTTCTGCTAAAACTGCAACAATTTTGGTCACAAGATGTTTTGTAAAAGGGCCTAGGACTTCTAAAATGTCTTTTTCTTTTGAAGGAACTGAGTTCTGTTTCTGTTGTAAGATTTACTTATAACTTGAAATTTTATTTCAGAAGATAATCTTGTAAAAACTTCTACATTGTCATAAACTTTTATAAGAACAAGTTAGTTACATGTAGAATCATTAGCATAATAAAATCATGGTTTTCCAACAAGTTAGGATGTCACTTTAAGAACAGATACAACAATCACACTTAGAAGTCAGCTTAAAAGTAAGTTTATCCATTTCAACAGCTTTAGACACATTTTAGTGTTTAACTGAAATCTACCTTCTGATAATTTCCTTTTATTGCTTTAATTCTGTTTTAGTGTGATCTTCCTCCTCATGACTATTTTTCAAGTACAGAAAAATATAGTAAGACCCACAAGTCTTTACATGCTATCTGCATCTCTTTAATTGTTCTTCATGGACTTCAGGATCCTGGTTTCTGGTTGCCAGCTTCAGAGATACAAAGCAGCTAGAAATTCTGTCAGTTTGATACATAAAATAAACTGTTGCTGGAGTGTCTGGAAATGGTACACCCTTCAGGAGAAAGAGCAACTGACACAGTCATTAGTGCAACGCATACCTGATAAGAGAATATAAAGTTTGGTTTTAAATTTATCTAAATTATTCTTATTTGTTTTCACATTTTCTAGTATTAATTCCGATACTGAGTTATTGAATCTGCAGTCTCGGTCTAAGGCTAAAGAGTAAAACCTCGGTTTGCAAGCATAATTTGTTACAAAACATGCTTGTAATTCAAAACACTTACATATCAAAGCAAATTTCCCCATAAGAAATAATGCATGATCAGATGATTTGTTCCACAACCCCAAAATATTCATATAAAAGTGATAACCATACCGCAATATAATGCAAAATAATAATAATGCACTTCTCTTTGAAAATCTTCCATCACTGGTATGAAGGAAATGAGAGAAGTAGGTTCTTAGGTAGAATGACTTTCACTATCTCTAACAGAATCACTATCTATTAAAGATTTCTTTTTCTTCTATTGACCTGTAATCAATGTAATCTCTTTTCATGCAACTTTAACAAGTAACCTATCCAGTGACAATGCCTTCTTTGGAGGATTTTGCAGAAATGTAACATTGCATTATTGTTAAACAGACTCACCACATGCACTGCTACAGCTTTATTTGGGTGATAGTTTTCTATAAAATTTTGCCCTATTTCCCACATTTTACATATCTCCCTAATCTCATGTGAAGTGAGGAATTGGAATTCCTCTGCCTTTTTCTCCTCTTCCTCTGCATACAAGATTTCCTCCCATTAGAGAAATGTCTTAAACATAGTATAGATCATACCCTAAAGGCATTTGAAGTCAGAGATCGACTACATCTAATGAAAACTGTATCCTAACTTCAGAGTCAACCCTGTTTGGTACTAATTGGATGGCGTGAAGAACCTCTCATCCTGTCTACCTGACAAAAGTCACTACTTTAACTGAGGAGAAATAATACAACTTCAGTATTGGTGGATCCATTACACAGTACAGAGTTAAGACATACAAAGATTTGGAAAAATGTGATTAATAAGAAAGCACAAAACAAATAGATCTCTAGGTTATCCAGATTTTTGAACCAACAGATTAACTCTTTGGAATATCTATTAAGAAACATCAGTTTTTCAGATGGAAACCACTGTCTTTTAGTAACTTGGAAAAATGATGAGCACAAAGTGAAAGACAAGATGTACCCCTAGTGTGTTTTCTAGTCTTTTAGAAAACCTCCTTTGTTAGACTGATTCCTAGGTGTTTCATTTTTTGGGGTGCTATTGTAAGAGGTATTGTTTTCCTGATTTCTCTCTCAATGAGTTCGTTATTCGTGTACAAGAACACTGTTCATTTTTGAATGTGGACTTTTTAAGTAGCTATGTTACTGAATTTGCTTATTAAATCTTGAGGTCTTTTGGTGTAGTTTTTGGAGTCTTCTAACTAGAATATTATGT